CTAAAAACTTTTGAAATATATACCAAATATAATTCATCCCTAACTCATAGAAAAATACTCACCCTTAAATAATGGGTTCCAATTTCCAGTCTTCCAAGTTTCAATTTCAAATATTAGGTGAGACATCCCTCAAAAACATATTAGGTGAGACAAGATTGCAAGACAGGACAACTTGATTTTATTGAACGCAAAGAAGAGCACGGTAAGAAGGATGAGCTTGTTTGAATATTCAAATTTTAAAGACTTTCAAAACTATAGAGTCGGGACTAATAGCGCTAGGTTTGGTGGCCGATGGTTATATGTTTTTTTTCTAAGGTGCATTCTTTAGTTATGAGGTTGGATTCGAATCATCTCTCTTCAAATTGTAATTTATTTTTAAAAAAATAAAGTTTTAGATTAATAATTTATTTGTTTAAGTGAAAGAAATTTGATTTTTTTTTAAAATATATTGAATTCAAGTATTATGAATAGAGAAATAAACATTAAAATTTTTTTTTTATAACATTCGATGTAATTTCATTCTAAATTAATTGAAATTTAATAAAACTTTCAAATACTGAAAGATTAATATCAAAAAAATGATAAAGCTTGCTCAAATGATCCCACGGTTTTTCAAAGTGATTGAAATTATTTGTTAGTAGAGATTATCTCCGTGAATTACCTCTTCAAATCCCATAATATCTCCTTTTCCTATTTTTCATACGTCTAAAATATGTATACTAATTGCTCTCGTTAAAAAAATAAAATAAAGCTCGGTCAAATATTTCAAGTACTGTTTAAAAAAAATAAAGCTTGGTCAAGAAAATTTTTACTAACTTCTAGATTTTACACTAATATTTACTGTTAAAACTGCTTTGATAAATTCTGGAGTATCAATTTCTTAAGATTATCTTTTAATGGACTTTGATTATTTTTTTGCCAAAAAAAAAAAAAATTTTAAGAATACTTTTACAAAAGTCTCAGCCAAGTGAAAAAATGGTCACCTAGTCCCCTCTATCCCTCTCTTGGCTCTGGTTGAAGAGAGGAATAAGATGGTAATTATAACTTAAAGGATTCCTTTGAAATGGAGAATAAGATAGGATTGTACTAGATAAAAATAATAAAATTAGATTAAATAGGAATAAGATGGGTAATTATAACTTAAAGATTCGTCTGAAATGCAGTATGAGATAAGATTGGATTAGATAAAAATAATAGAATTAGACTAAATAGTATTAAATTAC